GTTAAAAGCTGGTTTATTTTATACACCTGGTGACTTGCACTGTGTCTTGCCAGGTATGAGGGTGTGGCAGCTCAGGACCAAGGCCACTGTTTCATGTTAAGGCTGTGGAGCTCATTGTGCTCTGTTCAGAGCTGGGCCTGAAGCTCAGAGTGTTGCTGGGTTTCCTTGCTGGCACCAGCTGGGGTGGTGTGGGAATGCCTTTTTTCCTCCTTTGACAGCATAGACTGTGTGATCCTCTATCCCATCAAGGCTGCTGAGTTTGAGCCCAGCTGGCTTCTGGTGTGCACAGAGTCCAGCTGGGACGTGCCTGGTGTCACTTGGGGTGTGTGAGGAGAGCAGGAGCACACCAGCTGCAGACCTGTGCCACTCACAGCCCTAGTGGGAGCCATGGCTGAAAGCAAAGCCTTTGCTGGGCTTGTAGGGATGTGTTGGAGTGTTCTCTTCTCCCCCTCTAACCCTGACCTTCCTCCTTGGCATCCTGGCCAGTGACCTGCTTGTCTGCCTTCTCTTGCTCGCCCCACACGTGCCCATCACACACACAGTGTCTGACTTCTCTGTCTCATCTCTCCTTGTGCAGCCACATCAACAGAGCCAGAATCAGTGGTGAAGAAGTACCTGGAAGAGCTGAAGGGAGCTCCTGCTGATGAGGTAAGGGGACAGTGGAGCAACTCCAGTTGCTGAGTTCACTGGGGTGCCCAGGAAACCACAGCAGTGCCCAAGGACCATCCTCATCATGTGTCTGGTGTGGTGCCTGGTGCTGCTTGCAGTGGCACTGTTGATGTGTGGTGGAGGGTCCTCAGCACTGCCCAAAATTCACATGTGTCAGCAGGTGACTTGTCCTCACCAGAGGACTGTGATGAAGGCACAGTGTGGGTTGAGTAGCTCATCCTCACAGTGCCTCCCCATGTCCTTTGGAGGAAGGAGTTTGGTTTTGGTCTCAGTGGTGAGAGGTCAAAACTAGAGAACAACCCCTGCACTGAAGCTCCTTTGCAGAGAAGCAGGATGTAGCCATACTCTCCTCTGACTGATGACAGCTCTCCACCTCCTGGACAAAGCAGGAAGTGGAGTGGAGTGATACCAGCCAGAGAAGGAAACCTGTCTCTGTGCCCTTAAATCTCAATTAAAGCTGAAGGCAAACCTTCCTGAAGCATCTCCTTGATGGCTTCCTTGGTGTGTCAGTCCTCAGGAGCAGCCTGTGCTCACAGCACGTGGTGTTTCTCCCCTAGGACTGCATGATCTGCATGGAGAAGCTGTCCTGCCCCTCGGGCTACAGCGACTCGTGCCAGTCCCGCGCCATCGGGCCCGAGGCCGTCGGTCGCCTGAGGAACTGCCAGCACTCCTTCCACATGCTCTGCATGCTGGCCATGTACTCCAATGGCAACAAGGTACTGGGCTGGCCCCTCCTCACCAGGCCCCTGTGTGCACGTGGCTGGGCTGTGGAGCTCTGATGTGGCTTCTGTCCCCTGGCAGGATGGCAGTTTGCAGTGTCCCTCCTGTAAAACCATCTATGGAGAGAAAACTGGTACCCAGCCCAAAGGGAAGATGGAGATCTCCACTTTCCCCCAGTCCCTCCCAGGACACAAGGACTGTGGGACAATCAGGATTGTGTATCACATCAGCAGGGGCATCCAGGTGAGTGCCCAGCGTGCTGGCACACAGCGCAAGCTTCCCAAAAAAGTCCTGGGATCCAGTGCAGCACCTGCTGGCAGCCCATTGCTGAGCAGCCTGTGGTGCCTGGAGCCAGCAGCTGCTCTGGCTGTTCTTCAACATGTGAGGGTCTCCTCCATCAGAGATCTTTTCCTGAGCAGCCCCAGCTGCTCTGATGTCTGCCTGAAGCAGGGAGGAGACTACCCATGATCCCAAGGTGGGAAACATCTCGTGGGCTGGTTTCACAGCTCATGTTGGTTTCAGTGGTGGGAGTGAACTTCCAAAGGTTTGAGCTGAGTGACCTTTTTTAGGTTTTACAAGAACACATGGAAAAAGCAGTGTTTTGGGCCTGTCTCTCACCAGAATTTAGGTAGATTTTAGGTCTGGCTTTGTATCCCAGCATGAGACTGCTTTTGGAGGATCTGTAATACTCACGTGTCCTATAAGAACAAGTCACACATGGACTCACCAGCAATACCTTGCTGCCTCTACATGGAAGAGCTGGTTTGGGATGGGCCTGTGTCAGATCCTGCTGCTGATGGATTGCCCAATTCCTCTGAAGATGGCTATGTCCATGACAAATCTGTCTCATCTCCTGCAGGGCCCGGAGCACCCCAACCCTGGGATGCCTTACACAGCCAGAGGCTTTCCTCGCTATTGTTACCTGCCAGACAATGAGAAGGGCAGGAAGGTGAGCTATCACACCCTGGTCACATCACCCTTCTTAAGCTGTCAGGCTCCTGACAAGCTGCATTCATGACACACATCTCCTAGCTGCTGCTCCTAGCTTTGTTTTTCCTTTCCCCCTCCAGGTCCTGGAGCTCCTGAAGGTGGCCTGGAGGAGACGCCTGATTTTCACAGTGGGCACCTCCAGCACCACCGGCGAGAGCAACACGGTGGTGTGGAACGAGATCCACCACAAGACTGAGATGGACTCAAACCTCAGTGGCCATGGCTACCCTGACCCCAACTACCTGGACAATGTGCTGGCAGAGCTGGCTGCCCAGGGTGTCACCGAAGACTGCCTGGGCCAGTGAGCCTCAGGGGCCACCTAGTGCACTTATTCCTGATGCCTTAAGTTCCCGTGTCTGACCACCCGTCACCCTGAGCAATAACAGTTCCCTGGGAGCCCTGCCCGCTCTTCACATTTTTTTGGTGGGGGTTGTGGGGTTGGGAAGGATATTTTTGTAGAAGCTGTGCTTGTGTCTCTGGGTGGGATTGATGGCTGCAGCCAGGAGCAGCTGGGAGGGGACTGAGGTGACAGATGCCCTGTCAGATTCCCGGGGAAGGCAGGACCTTCCTTTGGCAATGCCTGGGGCCAGGATGGGAGGGGAGAGTGCCTTGCTTCCAGTAGCCCCCCTGGAAGTCACACCAGCTCCCTGTCTGAGGCACCTCTTGCCTCCCTCCTGCCGTGTATCTCTGCTCAGTCCCAATAAACTCTTCATTCTCACAGCACGACCCTGCTCTGCCTTCCTTTGGGGTGGCTCTCCCTGGGGAACCAGCCTGTTCCATGGAGCCATGGACCATTCATCCAGCCAGGAGGGGAAGCTCAGCTCTGCTGGAGGGACACACCTCAGTGCAGGCAGGACGCTGCTCCCAGGGGCTGTGGCTCCTGCCTGGCAGTGCTTTGGCCACTGGAGTTGGGTGATCTGTGGCCATGGTGCTAGCAGAGGTGACTTACCCTGTGGGAAGCTGCAGCCCTCTGCTCTTGGCTGTGAGCTGCCAGCCCCCCTCCTCTCATCCCAGCCATGAGAGGCAGAGCCTGTCCCTCTCTCTCCCTCTCTCAGGTGAAATGGCAGCACTACAGTGCAGGCAGGAGCTGCTGTGCTTTGTGCTGCTGCTGCAGGGATGCTGGTGCCACCAGCTGGTGACAGTCCCCTTCCTCCCAGCAGCAGTGGGGGCCAGCCCGGGTGCCAGCAGCGATGCTCTGGCTCAGAGCCTGTTCCTGCTCTGGCTGCTTGCACCTTGCAGTGGGATCTTGCCCCAGCCCCACGGCCTTGCTGTATTGTCCCCAGGCTGCGTGTCACGGGGAGCTGATGTCCCTTGAAGAGCTGTTTCTTGTCACCTGGGGACTGATATCTGTTGAAGAGCTGTTTCTGGCTCTTCCTCTCCCTGCAGCCACCAGACGCAGCTGCACATTAAATCCATCCAATCCATCCCTTTGGCACGGGTGCCATCTGCCACTTCACCTCCCTCCTGGGAACGCTGGGCTGGGGCTGGGCTTTGTGGCAGCTCTACCTTGGCCTCCTCCTGGGGCCAGCACGTGCTGGACCATAAAAAGCACACTTTGCTTCCTGTCAGGCCAATATAAAGATTAAAGGCTTTTTCTGAGCCAGTGAGGAGTGGGGCTTTCCCCAGTGTCCATCTTGTGCCTGCAGGCTTGGAGGAGGAGCCCCTCAAACACCCTGGGCCTGCTGCAGGAATGGCAGCTCCTTGGGAGCTGCAGTGACGTGTCTGTGCTGCTAAGCCCCACACAAACGGGCTCTGTCTGCTCCTCTCCCACCCTGCTTGCAAAAGGGAGAGGTCTTGAGTTCAAACCTCAGCTTTGTATCCCTGGATCATGTTATCCCAGCAATCAAAGCAGTGAATTGAAGCAAAAATTCAAGCAGGGTTCACTCAGCCCTGTACAAAGCAAGAATTTCCTGCTGGGCCTGGCCTAAGGCATCTCCAGCAGCTGCTGCTGGGTGTGAATCAGCTGGAGCCTCCCTGCATCTGGGCTGGTCCAGGGCAGGGGCACTGGGCTGTGCAGAGCCAGCCAAGCTCAGCAGCTCAGCCTGACTGCCCTGTTTTTGGACATGAGGCATCTCCTGAAATCCTTGCCCTCTCTGTGCTGGGCCCAAGGTGGCCTAGCCCCCGTGGCACGGGGATCCAAGGGCTGGGAGGGAGCACAGCCAGGTGCTCAGGCATGGTGGTACAGGGAGATGCTTTGAAAGGTGGGGAGAAAGCATAATCATGGTTCCTCTCAGTGCCAGGAGGGGACAAAACCCCAGATAAAAGCTTATGATGCTCCCAGTTTTCACCAAAAGCCTGTGTCCCCCATCCCCAGCTGGAGCCCCAGGGGGAGGAGAGGGGAGGTGTCCCTCCCAGCCCCGCGGGGATGGCTCATCTGCCACAGGGTGGATATTATTAGCCCAGCCTTGACCCCGCAGCTATGCTGGGTACCGGCAGCTGAAACTGTGACTCACTGTCCCCCTGCGTCACCCCTGCGTCACCCACCCTGCCCCTCACCTTGCTGCTGGCACCCTGCCCGCCGGGAGCACCAGGGAGGGTCGGGGGGCACCGGGGGGCCCCGGGGCAGGTGTTGCTGTCCCGGTGTGGGGGATAAGGAGGAGCAGGGACGGAGGCTGCAGCTGCGCCTGTTTTTCCCCTCTGCAGCTGCACGATGTAATAATCTTTGAATGCCCCATTTCCACTTAATCTGAAGGCGCGGCCCCTTGGCGAGGGGGGGAATCTCCTCCCACGCAGCAGTGGGCAGCCGCTCCCCTTGGCAAAGCCGGGGGAGGGAGCGCCCCAAGCCCTGCGCGGGGGGAGCGGCCTCAGGGGCTCCCGAGCCGCGGGCACTCCCGCTCCCTGCCCCCGTCCCGGGGCTCGGAAGGGGAGAGACGGGGAAATGCCAGCCTGAAAAGGCCGGGGCTGGGTGGGACCGTTCACCTGAGCGCTGGGATTTGGGCTGGTTCGGGTGTGATGCTCCGCAGCGCTGCCCTGCCCGCGGGGCAGGGCTGGCTGCACCCGAACCAGTCGGGCACGGGCTCACCCCTGGCTCTGGGGCCCTGCTGGGCACAGGGCATCCGCAGGGGGTTGGGTCTTGGTGGGGCGAGCGGGGGTCCAGGACGATCAGCCTGGCTGCCCCATAGCGCCAACAAAGAGTGTGAGTCCTGCCAGTCCATCCTGGAACATCGGCCCAGCGCCTCCTGTGCCTCAGTTTCCCCTTTCACATGACTGTCCTGTGCCCAGACTCCTCGCAGGTGCCTCGGGGGTCCTGCAGGACGGTCCCCAGCGGGTTTGGGACCAGCGGGTGACCCGGCACGCTCAGCTGTCCCCCGTGCCCGCGGGCTCCGGCCGGGCCGGCAGAGCCGGTGCAGGAATGCGGGGCTGGGAGGGTCCGGCCCCGGCACAGGCGGTCCCTGCTGCGGGGGCACCGGGGGCGGCTCGTCCCCTCGGCAGTGGGACGGGGCGAGCCGAGCAGCACAGCACATCCAGCGCCACCAGGACGAGCCCATGGAGCTGCCGTGGGTGCTGCTGGCGCTGGCTGGGACGGGCGCGGCCGCGGACCTGGGTGACTCCGGGGGACAGGGCAGAGGGGGACCGGGCCGGGAGGGGTGATGTGGCTGGGCATGGCTGGGGGGTCCCCACCAGTGCTGTCCCCCTGATGCTGGCACCTCGTGACAGCCCGGTGTGCCAGCCCTGCTGTGGACGCGGGGTCAGGCACCTGCCGGGCGGTGCAGAACGGGGGGGTCCCCTGCTCACTGCCCCCTCCCGCAGCCCGGCTGCCCTACGTGCCCCAGGTGCCCCCCATGGCACTGCTGGGCAAGGTCACTGCCACCACCTTCGCGCTGGAGAGGCCCTGCTGCGTCTTCGACGGCCTCGCCGCTGCCTCCGACGCCGTGTGGCTGGCGGTGGCCTTTGCCAACGGTGAGCGCTCGCCGCTCCAGCGGTCCCCCCGTGGCAGGGGACATGGGGACCCTCACCGCAGCCTCTCACCCTCACCGTGCCTGCAGCATCGGCCGCCTTCAGGAACCCGCAGTCGCGGGCAGAGGTGCCCCGGTACCAGCAGCTGCCCTCTGCCCGCTCCTACATGACGCTGGAGACGGCGGCGGCCGCGTTTTCCTGCTCGGGGCCGAGCCCGGCCGTGCTGCGGGTCGGGGCGGACACGGCGTGCGGGGAGCAGGGCAGGCAGGACCCCTGCAACGGGCCCCTGCCCTCCCCGGGACCCTACAGGTGAGGCCCGCACCCCAAACCCCCCGCCGGGGTGACTCGGCCCCCAGGGCCTGTTGGTCCCGCGGTGTCACCCCGTGTCCCCCGCAGGGTGAAGTTCCTGCTGATGGGCTGCGGCGGCCCCAAGGCGGAGACGCACTGGTCCGAGCCCATCCTGCTGCGCACAGGTCCCTGTGGCACCGCCACCCCCTCGGTCCCCTGCACCTCCCTGGCTGGGGCGGTGGCACGGCGTGAGCCCTGTGCCATCGCCCCAAAAGCTGCGGGAGAAGCGATCCCCGATCCCAGCCCGTACCCCTCATCCTTGCAGCCGTGAGCCCCAGCGCCATCGCCCCCGCCCGCCGGGGCAGTGCCCTGGTGGTCATCGCCTCCGTCCTGGCCAGCCTGGGGGCCGTGCTGGCCACCGCCGTGCTCGGAGCCCTGGGGTACGGGGGGTGCGGGGGGCAGCGTCTGCAGGGGCCTCAGGAGAGCGCCCCAACTTGGCAACCCCATCAGCAAGGAAATGGAGGTCTTTTTAACATTGAAAAAGCCTTTTTATTCCTAAATTGGGGGTTTGCCGGAGTTGGCAGGAGAAAAGGCTCCTTGGGGGAGGCTGGTGCAGAGCCCCACAGACCCCACTGATGCCTCTGCTTCTGTCTCCTGCAGTGCCAAGGTGTGGGGCTCCCGGTGCCCCCAGGGCTTGGGGACCGACGCCCTCACCCGCAGATCCTACCGGACCCACCACATCCCCCCGGCCCTGCCCCAGCCCTTGCCCCCCGGCTGCTCTGCCCCCCAGCCCCCTGCTCCGTGTCAGAGGATCGTGGAACAGTTTGGGTTGGACGGGACCATAAAGGGACCAGCTCGTTTCAACCCCCCTGCCACGGGCAGGGACACTCCCCACTAGACATGGAGCGTCCTGGCAAGTAAAATCTGATTTTCCATCTGCAGCCGTCTCCTCCTGGTCTTTGGCCGCGCAGGGTGGGACTGTGAAGGTGGGGGACCTCAAAAACCATATTTGGCCCTGGCTTGGTGGCACTTGGTGGCGGTGTGGGGGCACTGGCTGCCACTGGTGGGTGCGTGGGGCGCATCACCGCGGGCCACCCCCTGTGCCGGGTGACGCTGTCACCCGCCCAGGCCACGGGCGCAGCGCTCTCAGCACGCCTCGCCGGCGGGCGCTCAAACACAACAAAAGCTGCCGGGGAAACGAGCCCAACCTGTTTGCCACGGGGCTGCAGGAATGTGGGCGGCCGGTGACCACAGGCGGCTCCCAGGGCGCGCGGAGCCCCGGCAGCCGCACTCGCGCCCTCGGCACCCAGGAGCCCGCACCATGCTCCCGCTGCTCCCGCTGCTCCCGCTGCTCCCGCTGCTCCTGCCCGCGGCACACGGCATCGGTGAGTGCAGCCGCGCCATCGGCATGGGCCGGGACCCCCTCGGCACTGCCAGAGCTCCGGCCGCAAGTTTTTTATTTCCTTTGAGCTGTTTATTTAAAGCTGCCGTGGGGGTGTTGTGGCTGGGACGGGCACCGTGCGCAGGCACCGGGACCCGCTGGGCCTGGGGCGAAGGGCAGCTGGTGTCCCCTGTTCTGGGGCCTGTTGTGGTGCCACCTCCAGCCTCTGGTGTCGCCGATATTGGTTGACTGGCACAGTGTGGGCTTCTCCGAGGTCCCCACTGGAGTCCACCAGGGCTCCCCTGGGCCTGGAGGCTAAGGGCAGCTGATGCCCCCCATTCTGGGTGCCACCCCAAGTGTCCCTGGTGTCACCCACGCTGGTCCTCCGGGTGCTCCCCCGCAGCTGGGAGCATGGGGTGTTTTGGTGTTTTTCTTCCTCTTTTAATGCAGCACATGTCTGAGCCCGCACTGGGGGTGGCAGGGAGCAGAGGCCCCACTGCCAAAATCCCAGGGCTCAGCTCCCTCCTGTCCCTGTCCCTGTCCCCACCCCGAGCCCTGGCACGGCTGCTGCCGGTCAGAGCCTCGGTTGGGGGCTGCAGAGGGGGATCCACATCCCCACGGCACCCCCCGGCTTCTCCCGCAGTCCGGCTGGACTCCAGGCCAGTCCTGACCCGGGAGCCGCTGGAGGGGGTGACCACCGGCTCCACCTTCGTGCTGGAGCAGCCCCGCTGCATCTTCGGGGAGTTCAGCAACTCCGTCATCTGGCTGGTGGTGGCCCTGGACAAGGGTAGGTGCCAGCAGCCCAGGGCAGGGGCGGGCAGGGGTCCCTGTGCCCCCCACCAAGCCCCTCCTCACCTCCATCCTCATCCTCACCCCCCTCCCTGCAGACGCATTCAACAGCAGCGCGGGCCCGGGCACTCCCGAGACCGCGTTCCAGAGCTTCCCTGACCCCGTCCGTGCCTACATGACCCTGAACGCCACCCTGAGCAGCTACCCCTGCCCCAAACCCCCCGGGGACATCACGGTGCTGCGCGTGGGCAGCGAGACGAGCTGTGCCCAGGACCCGACGAGACCCACGTGCAATGGCCCCCTGCCCGGCCCCGGGCCCTACTGGTGAGCCTGCTCGAGGGACTGCCCCCTCCGGGGCTGCCCCCGGCTCACGGGGCCGTGGCCAACCTCCCTTCCCGTCTTAGGGTGAAGTTCCTCGCCCTGGAGGGCTCCGTGCCCGTGGCTGACACAGACTGGTCGGCGCCGATCATGCTGAGGGCAGGTACCGGTGCTCGTCCTGCCCCCCACCCAGCCCACAGGGGGATACAGGGTGCTCCCGGGCGTGTGGGGTGCTCCCAGGGGGGCTCAACGCTGAGCGGCAGAGGTTTGGGGTGAGGGCAGCTGGGGAAACTGAGGCAGGGCTCTGCCACGGGTGTCACTCGTGGCATGGTGTGATGGCACGTTGGGCTGGCACACCGTCACCCCTCCGGACCCCTGGGCCACTCCGGGCTGTGTGTCCCCCCATCCTGCTCCTCTGTCCCCAGCCAAACCAGCCAGCAGCATCCCCGCGACCAGCGGCGGGCACAGCGCCGGCTTGATCGCCATCGCCACCATCCTCTCCATCCTCTTCGCCATCCTCCTGGCCGGGCTGGTGGCCATGCTCGTCTTCTGGGGGTGAGTGCCACCACCTGGGCGGCGCCCGAGGGTGACACCGCCATCGCTGGGTCCCCCCCTGACCCCCCGCGTTCCCTCCCCAGCTCCGAGTCCTGCGGCGGCAGCGGCGCCTTCAGCAAGCCGGAGTCGGTGATGGTGCAGCGGTACAACACCCACCACGTCTACGACCAGCCCGCAGCCCGGCTCTGAGCCCCCGTGCGGGGTCAGTGACCCGCAGGGCCCCGTCCCCGCGGTGACACCAGCCCGCCGGCCGGGACACGGCCGAGCCGCCCCGCTCGGGGCGGTGCACAGGGACATTAAAGGCTTTTCCGCTTGCTTTGTGCCCGGCCTGTGCCGCCTGTTTGTGACCCCTCGCTGCCCCCCGCAGCCCCCCGGAAAGCCCCACGGCCCCTGCACCCCACTGAGCCCCAGCGCGGGGGGGAGGGAGGGAGCTGCTGGCAGAGCAGGGCGTCACGAGCAGCGGGAGAGGCTGTCACACCCAGCTGGGCATCGATCTGTGCCCACTTCGGACGCGGAAAAGCCCCCTGGGTGAGGGGCAGGAATGCCCCGTGCGGTGGGGGTGCGTGCGGGGGGTGCTGCTCCAGCCCCTTTATCCCCAGTGCTCTCTCCCTGACCAAGCCCAGGGCAGGGGCTCCCACACCCCGAAGTGACCCAATCGGGGTCCTCTGAGAGCCATGGGAGCCCAAAAGGGACCCGGCACCCCGGGGTGTCTGATCCTGCCCCGGGGGTGCCCCTGATCCCGATCTGGGGGATGTGGGCTGATCCTGCGCTGGTGAGGGTGGGCTGGGGCAGGGAGGGGAAGCTGATCCTGTTCCAGCGGCTGGAAGGGACCGGATCCATCACTGCTGATCCTACAGGGGATCTCTGTGGGTCTCTGGTGCTGCTCTCAGGGCTGTGGGGGCCCTGATCCCGCAGCCCGGGCAGGACGGGACCCCGCTGGTGCTGGAGACCATCCGGCTGCGGGCGGAGCCGGGGCAGGGGTGTGTGTGCCTGCACACATCACACACGACATTAAATCCCGTTTCCCCCGCCAAGGGCAGCATCACCCCGCGGCCCGGGCCGGTCACAGCGCCCTTTCGGGGTGTCCCTGTGCCTCCGGGGGGGAGCAGCTGCCCCCGCTGCCGGAGCCGCCCCGTGGAGCCGGGCCAAGGGAAATGAAGCAAATCCAGCGATTAACTCCTGAGATCAGCGCGGCAGCAGCAGAAGGAGGGCGGGTGGGCTCTCTGCCCTACACCCCGCAATAAAACAAATAAAATAAACCAAATAAAATAAAACAAGTGCTTCCCCCGCAGAGGGCTCTGCGGGTGTCACCTGCCACGCGTGCCTCGCTGGCGGTGGCACATGTGGCCCGAGCGCCCGTGGGGATGGAGCTGGCACACGCGAGGCTCGGGGGCGGTGGCGGGGGCTCCCCTTGTCCCCTCGCTGTCCCCGTGCGGGGGCGGCGGAGGGGCAGGAGCAGAGCGGGGTGTTCCCGGTGTGTTCCCGGCGTGTTCCCGGTGTGTTCCCGGTGTGTTCCCGGTGTGCCCCCGGTGTGTCCCCGCAGTGAAATGCCAAGGCCCATGTCGGGCGGCACGGCCCTGAGCCCCAGCTTTGGGCGGGTCTCGCCATGGGGGGTTCCCCGACCCCGCTGCTCTTTAGGGCACCGAGAATCCAGAAACGCCCCCTGCCCTCGGCTGCGCGGCGGCGGGAGCTTTAAAACAAACAAAAACCGGGTTAAAAATCAGTAAAGCGGCGGAGGTTCGGGGTGCAGAGCGGCCGATGCTGCCCCCCAGTTCGGGGGGCACGGAGGGGCTCGGGGGGGTTCGGTCCAACCCAGGGGAGAGCCGGGCTGGGGCTGAACTGCCCTGGAGCCGCGGGCGGCGCCGGGGACCGAGGGGACAGAGGGGACAGCGGCGACAGACTGGGGGGAGAGAGCGGGGACAGAGCAGGGAGACACAGCGGGGACAGAGCGGGGGGACAGAGCAGGGACAGACGGGTGACACAGCGGGACAGAGCGGGGACAGAGCGGGACAGAGGGGACCGAAGGGACAGACCCGGGGGACACAGCAGGCGGGGGGACAGAGCGGGGGGACAGAGCGGGGGGACAGAGCAGGGACAGACCGGTGACACAGCGGGACAGAGGGGACCGAAGGGACAGCGGGGACCGAAGGGACAGACCAGGGGGACACAGCAGGGACACAGAGGGGACAGAGCGGGACAGAGGGTACCGAAGGGACAGCGGGGACACACCGGGGGGACAGAGCGGGGGGACAGAGCGGTGACACAGCGGGGACACACCGGGGGGACAGAGTGGGACAGAGGGGACCGAAGGGACAGCGGGGACACACCGGGGGGACACACCGGGGACACACCGGGGGGACAGAGCGGTGACACAGCGGGGACACACCGGGGGGACCCCGCGGGACCCCGGCAGCGCGGGGAGCCCGGCCCCGCCCACCCGCGCAGGCCACACCCCCTGGCCGACAGCCGACAGGATCGCCCAATGGGCGCCGCGGATGTGCTCTGAGCCACGCCCCTTTCCCCGCCCCCGCGCGCTGATTGGCGGCCGCCGGCGCCGGCCCGCACATGGGCGCTGTGCGCGGGGCCGCGGGTTCGAGCCGCGCTCGGCGCGTTGGCCCCGCTCGGCCCCGCTCGGCCCCGCTCCCGCCCGCCATGGCCCGGCGCAGCGCCCTCTCCATCCGCATCGTGGAGGGCAAGAACCTGCCCGCCAAGGACATGTGAGTGCCCCCGCGGCGGCCGGGACAGCTTCGGGGCGGGGGCATCCCGAGGGACTCGCCGCTTTCCCAGGGGGGCTGCGGGGTGTCCCCCCAACAGGTCCCTGATGGGGACACCACCCTCGGGTGGCCTTAGAGCCTCCTCCCTGCTTTGGGGGCTTGCCCAGAATGGTCTG